GGAAAAATCTTTAAAAATCTTCTTCTCAGGAACAGCAAAGCCCTGATTGGTCATATTAATATAGAAGCATCCTTAGGTAGTGTATATTCAAGTTTGTTCATTACAAATCATGACCCCCAGGAGTAGGTTGGGGCCACAATGGAGGATCAAAGTTTTACATAGAAATATATGGGAAAAATCTTCTTCTCAAAAACAGCAAAGCCCTGATTGGTCTTATTTATATGGAAGCATCCTCAGGTAGTGTAGATTCAAGTTTATTCAAATGATGACCCCCGGGGATAGGGCGGGGCCACAATGGAGGATCAAAGTTTTGCATAGAAATATATAGGAAAAATCTTAAAAATCTTCTTCTCAGGAACAGCAAAGCCCTGATTGGTCATATTTATGTGGAAGCATCCTCAGGGTGTAGATTCTGTTTATTCAAATGATGACCCCCGGGGATAGGGTGGGGCCACAATGGAGGATCAAAGTCTTACATAGAAATATATAGGAAAATTTTTAAAAATCTCCTTCTCAGGAACAGCAAAGCCCTTATTGGTTATATTTATGTGGAAGCATCCTCAGGGTGTAGATTTTATTTTGTTCACACGATTACCCACCAGGGATAGTGTGGGGCCACAATGGAGGATCAAAGTCTTACATAGAAATATATAGGAAAATATCTTCTGATGAACTGCAAAGCCATGATTAGTCATTTTGATATGGAAGCATCCTCAGGTAGTGAAGATTCAAGTTTGTTCAAATGATGACCCCCGAGGGTAGGGTGGGGCCACAATGGGGGATTGAAAGTTTTACATAAGACCTCATAGAAAATTTTTTTTCTCAAGAACAGAAAAGCTATGTTTAGTCATATTGATATGAAAGCATCCTTAGGTAGTGTAGATTCAAGTTTGTTCAAATGGTGACTACTGGGATAGGGAGAAGCCACAATGGGGTATTTAATTTTTACAAAGGAATATATGGGATTTTTTTTTTTGAACATTCTGAAGTACAACATAGCCATTTGTTATATTGACATGGAAGCATCATCAGGTAGTTTAAAATTCAAGCAATTCACTTTGAATATGATCAAACACATATTTATCAACCTGCATTAAAAAAAGAGGTAATGGGAATACATTTCTATGTCTCAGCATATGTCTTTAGATTGTATCTACTTTACTCTCAAGTATCTCAATGATATCTCTATTCACAAAAAAGTTAAAAATATCAGGAGTGCAGCACTTTCTGTGACATTTTGAAAATTTATTCTTATTTTGGAAAATATGTGAAATAAATAATAATGGTTTATGTTTGAAATAGAGACTTTCCTGATAATTTTCAAAGTAATGAGCTTTAAATGTAGACTGTCGAAACTTTTATTTGACCAAATTGGTTGGAAAAAAATGATTTATCATGTCAGGAATGCAACAGAAAAGATGTACTGTCGCAAAATAATAATAATATTTATAAATAAATAAAATAATAATATTAATAAAAAAACATCAATTTTGAAAATCTGAAAGACAATTATTATAAGTGAAAAAAGAATTTTCAAAGCGTAAAACAATAACTGATATACAATTTTAGATTTAAAAATGTTATATAAATCAGAAGCAGAATTAAGTTAATGAAAGTCAAGTATCTGTGCATACCAAATAATGTCAGGAGTGCAACATTTGATGTTTTGCTCCCCAGCATGAAAAAACTTTTATCAGTATATGATTCTCTGAATTTTATTTTGGAATGTTTTTGGTTCCTGTGAAGGAAAATATATTATAAAATATATTTTATTTTCTAAATATATATTTTAGCCATTTTTGTTTTAAATAAATAGGGAATAATTCAAGAGATAATGCCTGGTTAAAATATTTCATGTGTTTTAATAAGAAGTATTGGACTATAAATATTGCACTATTTTGTTTCCACATGATGTTGCCAACACTTTATGAATTTTTGTGTTCTATGGTTTTATTTTTTAATTTTACTGCAGTCAGGAGTGGAACAAAATTGTTTTATAATTAAACAGCTAGCAGTTAAGAAAAATCTCTGAAGTAGGTTTATTTAAATCCTTTAAAGATTAACATAAAAATCCTTGTTTTTTAATTCCCTTAAGGGTGGGTTATTGGCGAGGATTAGGAGGGCATAGTATCTTTAACATAACTACAATATCAAAAGATAGTACCCCCTCCATTTTCTGACCTAATGGAATCTGAAACTTCCTTCTGTCTGATATTTTTTTTATCTATCACAATGGTGCAAAAAAAAAAAAAAAAACTTTTGTAAGTACAGGTACTTTTATGTTTCATCAAAATATTTTACTATGTATAGTGTACATGAAAATAACATCCATTCTTAACGAGGTTCGCTCCTGAGCTTTTGAGCAGATTTACATCTTAACCTATATTTCAAAAATTCTGCGTAAAAGTTTCAATTCTACAATAATTTTGGATTCTACAATGCCAATTAAACTATATTCAGTTAAAACTCCATGATTAGATTCCATACCAAAAGCATTAAGCGAGGAACTATATTTTGTGGCGGAAGGTTTTTTAGAAGAAAATGATCATTTTTTCTCTCTCGAAGTATTTAAAGTATGTTAAGTTTGGATTCCTATTTTTACATGCAGTCTGCACACAGAGTTATTTTATGCAGTGAATTTTATACTGGTCCTAAATTATATATTAAATAAACTATCATGAATTCTATCATCATATTTGATAAATATAACGAATATATTGTGAAAATCAAGAAAAAATATCCCTATTTTAAGCTTAAAATTAGCACTATTTTAGTAATATCTTAAAATTAACATCACAGACCCCCACTTTTTGTTTTCTTTTCTGAATATATAAGATACTTTTAACCATTCTTCTTAAATTCAGTAAAATGTCATTACTTTTTGCTTGTTAAATTTTTAATGCCAGAAAAATGAATTTTTTGAGTGCAAAAAGGTCAATAATTGAACATGCGGAGTAATTTGAGAAAAATTTCGTTGTCACAAATTTTAATGTGTCTATTCAAGATGAAATAAGACTGTGTTTGTTCCCATAATTTATTTGAACAAAAAATATTGGAGGAAAAACTTTAACAATTGATTTATGTGTAAGACGTATTTACAGTGCAAAAAGGTCAAACTAAATGCTCTGTAGCGCCAAAAGAAAAGCGCATTGACCCCCATTTTTTGTTTTGATTTTTAATTAAGCTATGTGTATAAATTCTAAAAATATACTTGATAAAAAATTCTCATTACTTTGGATGGCAAGACCCAACCTCCTTAAGATGCTTTCATTTTAAACTCCAAGGAAGTCGTATCTTGAGATAGTCCTAAGAAATATCCGTAGACACGTTTTAAGACACATCATAAGAAATTTTCGCAAGCATGCCTGTAGAACATTATAATATATTTCCGCGCACTGTCAATGCAAACCAAAAAATCTCACATATGATCTTGAATTATATAAAAACAAACTCTATATGATAATGTTCTTAATCCTAATTTCTAGTTCTCTTATTTTCAATATTTCAATGTCAGTTTTCCAAGAACTAGTACACAGTAAGTCAGTACCAGTCATTACTGATAACCATATCTTTATCTTGAAAATCTCTGATTCTGGAAACGTAGATTTAAACAATGATATATGTCATGCAGAAAACATTTTTAAATAAACAATTTAACATTCCTTCATATGTGTTTAACTATAACATGACAGACAAATTATCATTTCAGTATATCTGAAAACGTCACCTAAGAATTTTTATCCAATTGAAATTGAATTGTTTTCTGGGATGAATATAAAAACTATTTATATCAAAATTAAGAACACTTATAGACATATAAGCGTTATACTTAGAAATCATTATAATCTCAGAAAAAAAGAATAAATTGCCAAATGCATCAATTATTATGAGAGTTATTTTATATTTCACTTACATGTTCGTTAAAAAAATTATCAGTAACTATATATTAGTCATATTGTGTACCTATGCCATCCTAGGGCTTTACACATCTTTTTAACATACGTCCTGTTGAAGTGTAGTCCAAGTATTTTCAGGTTGTTTAAGCATTATCAATTATATCATTTTTGTTCATATGATGTAACATTTTAAAGACAAAGCGAATGCAAAATACTAAACTGAGCGCTTTTTCAATCGGTACAACCAACCTGTTATGGCAATACGTGCTATAGAAGTTTTGACATTTTGCTTATTTGCTTTTCTATTTGAAACATTAAGGCAGAAAGTTTTGTTAAAAAGAGATATCTCCACAAGACCTCATCGATTTTATTTTTATTACTTATATAGCTTTTAATAAAGGAGAGTATTGCAGTTTATATTTATTTTATGGTATTATTGCATATTCTAAAATTTAATAATCCGATTAAGTTTCTATCGACTTCATTTCCTGTGCAGCTATGGATGGTATTGTCGAGTCTTGTCCACAAAACCTTACAGATATTAGAAATGCATCTACAAGACTGGGCTGTGGTCGTGACAAGTATGGTAATGATCAGTATATATGTCTTCCAAACGTAGAGAAGACCGGTCTGGTAGAATTATGTCATAATGGAATCATGGGGATAGTACAAAGAGGTGAGCAATTAAAAGTTTTGGTTTAACAAAGACCAATGATATCATGGAATTTATACAAGAGTCAATTACCAATAAATAATCGACTTATCAAAGACATGAATCAAAGACAAGAACCCAAGTAAACATAAAATAACGATCCATATTTTATTGTTACACTTGTAAGAATCTTTTCATTTTTTTTTTTTTTTTTTTTTTTTTTTACAAAATCAGTCATGTGTTTTTTTTAGGAATCTGTTTGGAAACAGCTGAGGGAAAACTGTTCCAAAGCGACTGCTCAGGGTTTTTATCAGGCTGTCCAGATGATGCTTTCAGGAGCAATGAAAATTACAATTGTAAGAGAAAAAATAAGTTTTTTCTGTTTTATATTTTGATAACACTTAACCACTATACGAATATTCCATTTTCATAATTGATTTAGATCCTGCATGTCAACGAATAAATACACAAGACCGATGCTATCTTGCCGACCCTTCCTGTGCAGTAACGTAAGTAAAAGAAATACATTCATCAAACGTGCTCTCACATGTATGTATGGGGTTAGCATTACATGATCAATAAAATTTTTCAAACAGAACACAGAATATCTTTTACAGATCAGGGGTATTTACAACTGAAATAAACTTAGACCTTGACGTGTACAACACTACGAAAATAAATAATCAAACGATCACAATCCAGGAGTACGAAACCGCCGATATTGGTGCAATAGTAGGGGGACTTTGTGCTGGAGTGATTCTCCTCATCGTCCTCCTGTTCTTAGGAGTTCTTCTGTGGAGAAGAAAACAAAGGAGGAAAAACAAGACTAAAGAACCAGATCCAGGTATACATTGCTTTATTTGAATGTTATAATTTAGTAAATATACATGTATGTCTCAGCTATTTCATAGATAAGATCATAATTCAGTTGTTTGTCTTTCAAACATTTAAATTACGATTTAGCAATTGCAATTACAATTGGAAGATCCAACTGATTTTAAAACTATTCACGCATGAATAATGTAAACAAATGAATTTGAAAGCTTTTTTGTTAAGATACTCTTATCAATTTCACTCCATCCTATACATCGAAAATAAATTCAACACCTTTTTTTCTTTCGAGATATATATGTACTTGTAAGTTAACAAAAATAAAAGTGATAATTCTACGTCGAATGTACAGTGAAATTCTTGAAAATTTATCAACGTTCTCCATATTGTCACTTACATGTACATGTTTCGATCGCCATAAAAACAGCAATGATCGATTTCACCACTGTATTTGGAATATACAAGGGGCGAGGCTTACTGACGGCAAGATTAAAGCGGGGTCCGCTTCACGCATGAGTGCGTAAAGCGAACCCGGAAAGCGAACGCCGGGTTCGCTCGAGCAGACACAGAGCTGACCCCGAGCTAACGCAGAGCGAACCCGAATAGCACCCAGAGCGGTCCCAAAATTTCTGAAAGCGAACCCGTAGCGGACCCAAAGCGAACCCTGGGTGCGCTTTGGGTTCGCTCTGGTGTTAGGTTGTGTTCGGTCGGTTCTGTATACATGTATAACGATTGTATACATTTTAATGCTGTTTCCTGAGGTCAATTCGATGATTTAGTCACCTTCAAAGTATAATATAGCCCAAACGTTTTATAATACGATTCAATGATAAAATGATATAAATCAAGTACAGGCCCCCTGCAACACCAATAACAAACGACCCATTCCCATCCTGATTCTATGAGCCTGAATATATTGTACACATGAGTGGATTTCGGGTGCAAGTGAAATAACTTTTCAAAGTTTCAAAGTCATTTGTGTCACTTTCAAGTTTATCTATTTTGATAAATCCTTTTGTTCACCAGGAAGGTCATATGCAGGTGAACACATCGTAGTATTTTTTCTACAATGTTTGATATTATCCAGGCCTAGGAGATATTCAATCATATAATATCATTAGTTGTTGATATTAGACAAAATATATACATGTATTAGAAGGAATTAATGCTATCTTGAGTTATGATTCTGTTAAGTGTCTCTCTCATTCTTACTCACCTATTCACAAAAACCACACTGATAGGTAATACTCTGAAATGCAATGTGAATGGCATGAATAATCAAGGTATTTGATTGTTTCATTTTTAATCTTTTGCAGAACGAAATATAGTTGAAATTCGAAAAGTATAAAGATTTGAAAATTTTTGGATTACTGTCTTTGTGTATTTTTAAAAATCGCATTTGATGATTTCAATATCAAAACGTACCTACATCTGTACGTGGATGGTTGACTATATTATATTAAGAATGGTCTTATAACAAAAAGGAGATACCTAAAACTGTTTTCTTTTTTATGTAAACAGTTAAAATTACTAACAGAAAAGACATGTTCTACCTTTGTTTTAAATATAGCGTAGAGCGTTTCTAAAACTGAATGTTATTCAAATAAAATTCTAGTATAATCATTGTAGACACAGATTATTTTGAAGAAAAAAAGGAAAGCGGTTCTGAAAGTGACTCATACCAAAGATGCACCAGTAGTCTTGATGATTGTACATTTAGTACACCATTGCTGCCAACTTATAATATTGACGATGCTGGTAAGAATGAGTATTACGTATTATGTTTGTGTATACAATCTATATTTTTATCTAAATATTTCTGTAGAAAATATTAATAATTACATTTCTTAGTTTGTGATTGGTTAATAAACCCAATTAGTACAAAATATCAGAGCATCTTTACAAGAAATAATGTAAGTGTCTCACTAAATTATAAAATACCAAATTTAAAATAAGAAATTTGTTTTTCAAATTTAAAATAAATATGATAGGAATATAAATCATTTCATTTAGCAAGAGTTACGATACTGAAAACAGGCGGACTAGAGAAAAGGGAGCTTGTTTTCACAGAGACTAGTGTCAAAAGTGAATTAAAGAGAAGAGTCCATGATGTCACAGAGGCTGATACCTGTAGTAAACCAAAGGAAAAAAACCATGGTGTAACAGAGGCTAGTGTTAATAGTAAACCAGAGAATAGAACCCATGGTGACACAGAAGCAGGTGTAAATAGTAAACCAGAAGGAAACGTTTATGGTTTTCAAAAGGCTGGCATCAATAGAGAATCAGAGGAAGGAGTGCACGGTGTCATAGAGGCTGAATTCAATAGTAAACCAGAAGAAAGAAGCCATGGTAACACAGAGACTAATGTTATTGAGGCCGGTGTCAATAGTGAAATAGAAGAAAGAGTTTATGGTGGAACAAAGGCTGGTGAATATGATAATATATATAAATATATATATATATATATAGAGAGAGAGAGAGTCTGTATAAACTACCTAAAGCAAAGGGATCTTGACTTGCTTTGCGGAAAAATATGTTCCAGCGTTCGCAGCGCCTTCAGTGGGATGTATAGAAAATTTCAAACATTAGAAATTTGACGTTTTCATTTACCTTGTCAAGATATTATAGCCTTCAATGTATTGAATTATTGGGGTATTTACCAAAAGTTTTGGTTAAGACATTAAAGAGTTCATTGAAGTATGGAGGGTAATCGTGTTCAAAAATCCAGACTTGTAAGTTTGTAAATCCAAACTTGTAATCGTATCAGTTTCATAGTCTACATATGTGAGTAGGTAATTCCGACATCCTAGCATGTAGTTCCGAACATACAACTGTGTTGACTTTGAGTTTATACTATGAATGTGTGTATTTTTGATTTGATGTTGTAAACTTTGTTTTCCGGAATTTATATATCCGCGCTCTGAATAAAACACAAAGACAACTGACAAGTCTACAAATGTAAAGTCTACACGTTTGTCGAATTTTGATATGAGAACCTATGGAGGGTCATCAGTGCCACAATTATTTTTAATGGTCTTATTTTCTTGTTTATTCTATCTTTTTGTTTTCCAAATTAAATTCTTCATTTTTTATTTCTTATTTCAATTCTTACTTCTTGAAGGCGCGGATCTAGAAGGGGGTCCGGACCCCCCACCCCTCCCCCTGAAATTTGCAGACTTATTAAATGTTTATACTAAACGAACTAAAAGTGACCTTGGATCCCCCTCGAAAACGCTGATCTGTGTTAAGTTGACGACTACCCCCCCCCGTTCCTCCCTCCCCCCCCAACACACACACACGCACGCGAGCGCGAAATAGGGTTTTCATGCTTGGGAAAGGAGTTTATTTATTTATTATTTTTTTTTTTTGCTTGTCAAGAAATTTCTGGGTTGGATTTTTTTGGACTGGGATGGTACCCCCCCCCCCCCCCCCCCGGATCCGTGCCTGTTCTTGTTTATATTTTCCAGTTTTATTTTATTTTATTTATTTTATTATGGCAATTTTGATTCCTTTCGTATTTTGATTCTATTTTAAAATTTCAATTATGTTTCACTTCACCTAACTTAATACTTAATTTTTTTTTTTGGTAATAACTATATGCAAAATCGAAAGTTTGTTTAAAAAAATAGAACTTACAGAGTTAAACTAAGAAATCCGAATAAAATTTAAACGAAAAGGGGCGCTACGGTCTTTTATGTACAGGTACACATAGATCTTGGCGAACAGTCTAGCTACAAAACATACGAAACGTAGAAACATTTCCATGGAACATTTTTTTTTCATTTTAAAAACCATATGATGTCATTCTTGCGTGTTTTCTCTCGTTTCCAGCCCGTAGGAAGCATTTTCATTGGGGGGGGGGGGGGGTAGCAGTGGGCACAAAACAAAACTTTCTTGATAAGCCCCCCCCCCCCCCCAATGAAACATTCCTGTTGAGGGGGCACAACGATGAATTAGCCTTATTTCTTTTCTTATGTATTTACCGACAAAATTATTGAGGGGGCACAATCAGAAATTGCTTTTTTTTTTAAATTGGTATAATATATACTGGCACCCTCACCCCACTTGCTACCTACGGACCTGGTTCGGGGCCATAAAACTTAGATGAGCTCACTTATGATCCCAGTCTCTCTTTTCTACATACTATTAATTCCTTTGGTAAATGTGAGACTGTGATCAAAAATGAGCCCGTCTAAGTTTTATGGCCCTGGTGCAAGATGTTTCAAATATGATAAATATGACCGCCATTTTTGATTGCCCGCTTATGGTACACAAATATCAGGTATCTTTAAGTTATTTTTTTAAAGTAGGACAGAGAAAATTTTTTTTTCACTAACAAATCTCAGGTCCGAAGTAGGAGGGATCGAAAGGCTCCCAACTTTTTTGTGTGGAGAATAATCCTTTGCAGCTGTTTTAATATGAAAATTCATTTATAGGCTTTATGCCCAACTACCCCACCCCCCATCCCCCTTATTTTGCAGTATCATTAAACTCTGGCAACTTCTTGCGTTGAAAAAAAAGTTACTGAAAAGTTAAAGATATCCTAAACATCGCCTCCCACGAAGGAGGAGTTTGGGCAGTTTATTTATTTATTTCATCGTCAATTTTTTTGGATCCCCCTCCCCCCCCCTTCGGTTGAGACCTTAAAAACCGAAGCCCCTCTAGATCCGCGCAAGCCGTGAATAAGCGGGTAATGATTCATGTCACATCGTCAAATAAAATAAAATTAAGAAGATAAAATAAAATTGGAATATATAAACAAAAAGTTAGAATTAAAATTAAATAACGAATTCAAATGAAAATATTAATATAAAATTGGAAATTAGAATAAAAAAAAATAAAATCTAAATAATTTATTTCAGTTGGAAAAAGATGAAGTTAGAATAAAAAAAGGGAAAAAATGTGACACTGATGCCTCTCCATAGTTTCTCATAATCAAAATTCGACAATCATGTAGACTTTACATTTGTAGACTTGTCAATTGTATTTGTGTTTTATTCAGAGCGCGGAAATATAAATTCCGGAAAACAAAGTTTACAACATCAAAAATACACACATTCATAGTATAAACTCAAAGTCAACACAGTTGTATGTTCGGAACTACATGCTAGGATGTCGGAATTACCTACTTACATTTGTAGACTATGAAACTGATACGATTATAAGTTTGGATTTACAAACTTACAAGTTTGGATTTACAAACTTACAAGTCTGGATTTTTGAACACGATTACCCTCCATATTGAAGAAGCTGTTGAGGTATTTTCTAATTTGTTAAATAGACTAATAAACTCGACGGTATATAAGTTGCATGATAAGATAGAACAGCTGTCAAAATTCGAGAAGGTTTAACAAGGTGCAACTCACTGAAAAAAAGCCTTTGGCATTTTTTTTTAAAGAAACAAATCTTGATTGCCTACGTCTCCTGATCGCACTTATCTTTTGATTTTTAGCAATAATTATAAAAATCCGACGATCCTTATTCAATTTCAACAACAGGCCATGGATGTAGCATTCTATCATGCTATAATCATGGTATGTAAGGAGAGGGCGGAGAGGAAAAATAACTGACATGAAAATTCTTTGACAAGCAAAAAAAAAAAGAAGAAGAGAATTAACTAAAAACGAAAATCCTCCTTTTTTTTTAGGAAGGAAGGAATTAGGGTTTTAAAATATTATTCAACAAGAAAAAAAATCATATATTAACAATGAAGAATTTTATTTTACTACAGGAAACAATGGGAGGCCAAGTCTGCCTTTGAATGAACATTACAAACAATTTAATGTCTCAAAGTTTCACATTGAAATATATACATAGAAAATCATTGAAAAGTCCTCTTCTCAAGAACCACTGGAACAGAAAAGCTGAAATTTATGTGGAAGCCTCCTGAGGTAGTATAGATTCTAAATTGTTCAAATCATGCCCCCAGGGGTAGGGTCGGGCCACAATAGGGAATCGAAAAATTATATTGAATTATAAAAAGAAGAAGGTACGGTTTTAGCTTTATTGTGCCCTAAAAATTTATTATTTTCAAAAAGTTTTGAAACTGGCTTAAATATTAGTTGAGTATATGACTGTGATAAATCAGGAAAGAATGTGACATGAAGGAGTACCATTCTGGAAACATGACGTCATTAATTTGATGCATTTCTCTATTTTAAACAGAAAAAGCCTCAAAACGACCCATTTCAAGGGTTATTTTCCTTATGAAAAAGTGTCCACAGTCCTTGCCCACCTTAATTTTCAGATATGTTGTGTAAAATTCTTTGAAAATTGGTGTCTTCTACAACTTTTAAGAAAATACGAGAAAATGCACAAGGTTATGATGTCATAATTGGCATTCAGAAGGTTATGTGAGAAAAATGAATTTTTTTATCTTTCTGTATGGAATTTCAAAAATTCAGAAAGCTTAAGTTTCAATCTTTTACAACACTTTCATTTTTAAGAAAAACAGAGCAAGATTTGTATTAAAACAGTACCATGTTCTTTAAAAATCTTCTCAAGAACCACTGGGCCATTAAAGGTGTAACTTACTTGGAAGTTTCCTGAGGTAGTGTAGATTCTAACTTGTTCACATCATAGCCCCCGGGGGGTAGGGTGGGGCCTCAATAGGGATTCAAAGTTTTATTTTGAAATATATAGGAAAAGTCTTTCCAATAAGCACATGGCCAGAAAAACTGAAATTCATAAGGAAACTTCCTGAGGTAGTGTAGATTCTAAATTTTTCAAATTACATGTATGACCCTCGGAAGTAGGATGGGGCCACAATGAGTGTTACAAGGGGGGGAATCTGACGAAGAACAGCAGGACCAAAGTTAATCAGGTGAGCGTTGTGGCCCATGGGCCTCTTGTTTTTAAATTTTACATAATTATTCTTTACTGGATGGTACATGGTATGCCACATGTACATCTTATCAACATTTTCCATAGAGTTTGGTGTCATCCAAAAAGCAGAAAGACTCAATTTTCGAAAAGAAAACAAAATCCTTAAAAATTCTATGAAACACTGAATATTCAGTTCACTTAAATTAAACAAATTGAGACTTAAATAAGTTCGTCAATTGGACATCTTTTAAAAAGCTATACACCAGTTTACAATGGTTACTACAGTGAATTCCCTATTTATTTTTATTTTCAGTTCAGTGATCAATGATCAATATTTTAAGCGCACCTGAGCTGAAAGCTCAAGTAAACCTTTTTGATCACCAGTTGTCCATCGTCGTCCGTCCGTCCATCTGTAAACTTTTCACATTTTCAACGTCTTCTGAAGAACCATTGGACCAATTTTAACCAAAGTTGGTACGTTACAAAGCATCCTTGTTTTAACCAAAGTTGGTACGTTACAAAGCATCCTTGGGTAAAGGGAAGTTTAAATTGGTAAAATGAAGGGCCAGACCTCCTTACAAGGGGATATAATCAAGAAAAGA